TTGTGCGTCTGTGTCTGCGTTATGCCTTCGGAAGCATTTGAAATATTTGAAATATATTTTCCCCCTTCTCTTGTGCATTTACATTACTTTCTCTTTTAAATTCAAAGAAAAATAAACATAGATGATGCACCTGATAATCATATTCGCGCAGGTGTGTGGCTGCAACAACAGAATCATCTCTTTTCGAACCAGCCTTCATCAGTGTGTCCGCAAAAACACGATAATCCGGATTGAATAGCCTCCCGATGGTGCGTGTGCTCATCGCAACCATGTAATAAGTGACGGTGAATTTGGCAAATACCATGAAATTTGTCCCATTCAACAACGACCTGTTGTAAGCAATCTAAATTCAAACTATTTCCTTCACACAAAACTTCCATTAAAATAAAGACATTCTGAATAGCCCTTCAAACGACTGAGAAGATTCCCTCCTTGTGAAACTTTACCACTCAGCGCTCACTCATTGCCGTAAAAGTTCATGTCTCAAGCTAATAAGGCGCGTTGAACGTTTCAACGAGCTTCGTTTTTTTTTTTTTTTAAATGTATAAAAGCATTGTGCCATTTGAAATAACAAGAACTGCAGAAAATAAGGACACGTGCGTTTGTACCCGAACATATTGCTCTGTCTGTGTTTACAGCGAAGGGATGAAACACTGACTGCATACTGGTGTGTTTCTTCACTACCCGTAGCAACTTCTTTGCTATCCTTCTGTTTCTGCCAAAACGACCTCAGGAACTTCTGTTTTCAAAATTTGGCGCTCTGGGAAACTGCTCAATGATTAATCCTAAACATTTCGTTTCATATAATTAAAAGGCATCGTTAGGAAGCAAAGAGCAAGTGAGATGAAGAACCAGAGGAACAGTCAAGAGGATACAACAGATTTCCAGCATTCTCCGGAAAAACGACAACACAGGGAGATGAGTCAAAGGATGTCTTACTTTGCCTTACTTTTCCTTCTACTTTTCTACAACTTTTCTTCGACTTTCCATTCTGCCTTTTACATTTCATACACATTAACTAATTTATTTAGTTCCCGCCCCCTTACTTAATTAACTTTCAACGCTCTTTTACCATTATGGTCGTACTGACGAGGTCCAACTGTGGTAAAGGTAAGAAATGTATACAAATTAATAGACCGAAACGTTTCTTACCTACTTTAATAATTCCTTACATGCTTTTCATCGTTTTTTTTTACATTTCTTCTTTAACCCTAAATAACCAGAAAGGATGTGCATGAAGTGGTTCCGGCCAAAGCACCACAGGAAATTTTGTCAGCTTTTCAATGGCATGAAAGCGCAAAACGATGATTTTTAAGGGACGAGTAGAAGCGAAGAATCAGAGAAACAGTGAATAACTAGGTCGAGAACTTTTTTTCCAGAAAAAAGACATCCGGGAAACAAATGGTTGGATCACTTCGGTAATGATAGACGAGATACAGTTTTCCAGTCCCAGCAACGCAGAAAATTTCGTTAGTTTTTTCGGGAAATTTCGGCGCTTTTTTTTCTGGCGTGAAAGCGGAATACGATGAAATGACAGGAATTGATCCATGATTCAAATTCATCACGTCGGAAGCTATTTTACCTAGTTCTAAAAGCCATCTCTGTTAAGGCGATATTTTCGGTAGGCATCGATGAAGATTGGCATATTTTTCGGGGGCAAATATTTGCCTGAAACAATCACTATGACCGAGAAATTACTTAATATCAGCTATTTCAAATGGCTACTAATTTATCGTTAGTATTTGCATTCCCAAGCGCTTTCGCAATGATTTTTTAGCCGAGAACCATGTCTTTCTTTCTTCGTTTTCTAGTTGTTTTGACCAATACTGCATTGGCTTGATGGTCAGCTTTCTGGCAATCCTCTACTTCCTTTTCTTCTGGCAAAAATTGCATTCAAAAGAGAAATTCGAAACAACAAACCAGCAAAAGGATTGGCGAGATAGCGGCACACACAGATCCACATCCGTTGATAACGGTAAGCATTGTATCGCCCACATATTCCAGTGAATTGCTCGGGAAAGCAGTGTCTCGTTCACGGAAATATGCATAAACTTTTGGACCGGTTACATAGCTCCAGAGCATTGCGGCCGGCGGCGCTATCCTTGCCATCGCACCTAAAAAATTGGCCATTTGAGATACAATG